CAGATGGCTCTTGATTTCCTAGGGCCCAAATTACACTGTGTTGTCTAGGGAGCTTTGTAGTTCTCTGAAGAAGCAGAACAAGCCCTGTAGGGTAAACAAAGGTACCTAACACTGCCCAAGAGAGCCACCTATAGCTAGGCAAAGTCCTGATGTTTTCCTGTGCTCCTCTTGACTCAGTCTTCAGACTCAGAGATGTGGAGAAAACAAATGTTGCATATACAACTTCGAAATAAAGCAAAGCAGCAGGCAAGTTCAGGAGCCAAATGATTGCACAGTGACCTTGGGATTTGTGCTCCATGACTTAAGGAGGTTAATAATGTTACAGAAAAATCTTACTAGAGGAAAAACAAGCTCTTTTTTGGCTTATAATCCATGCTTTAAAAATAGTACTGCAAAGCAAAAGAACTAACTTCCAAATAGGAAATTATTCCTGTGCCATAGCCTAAGAGGATCTTTTACAAGAGACTTGGAGAATTTAAGAAAAACGTCTTTTTTCAAGCCTCCAGTTAAACCCAAGAACAAAGGACATTTTAGGAAGGAAAAATAGTGATTAATAAAATAATGGTTCCTGCCCAGGAGTGGGAATAATTTAACATGCCAGTGATGATCTTCCATTGAATTATCCTTTGAAGAGCAGAAGCAATAAATTACCATTTTAAAGAAGTGAGCCCTCGTCACACAAGTTATGTCAATGGAGTTTCAGTTGTGGGTTCCCCCTTTCCCCTGTGGCCCACCATGCCAAAACAGATCTGTCAATAGCATTCAGCCACCATGGCTGGCTGCATTCTGCACCTTCACTGTAAGGGAGACCAAAGGGCGTCCCTTCTCTCCTCCATCCCTGCAGAGGCTTTGACGTGGCCATGGGTAATTCACAGAACATGCCTTTGAAGAGCTTGCCAGAGACACCCTTGGAGCTGCACCCAGTTGAATAATTTCTCTGTTCTGCAAATGAGGGCGAAATGTAATGAGGGAGACTAAAAGGGCAAGAACAGAAACCTGTTTGGGGTGTTTGTTTGTTTGTTTATCAGAGCATTCCACTGAAAATTCAGGGAGTTAACAGACATACTTGCAGCAAATTTGAGATGATAGTCAAATATGTACAATAAAAAAAGGGTTTGAATAGAGCAGAGGAGTAAGGACAGAAGAGAAAACAGCAGCACAGCCCAGAGCTGAGCGCTTCTCTCGGACTCCGAGCTCCTTTGGAAGCAGCGTGAGCTCCATCCAGAGAGCCAGGTGAGAACTGCACGGGAAGGCAGAACCACCTCACCCTCTTAGAAACCTTTTCTGTGAGATTGGCTTTTAGACGGTCTGGTTTAAATTCATCTTTCGATCACAGAAAGAAAGGAATGGAAGGAGGAGAGAGATAAATTATTAGATGTTATCTCATGATATTGTTTTGTTACAAAAGGAATGTCAAACCTTAACTCCAAACTATACAACAGCTGAAGAGATTATTCTCAGATATCAAGGCTGCAAGACAATTGTTCCCTGTGTCACATGGAGTAGTAGATTTGATCCTTTCAACATCAAATTAGTAGTGTCCCCTCTGAGTAACATAAAACAACAGGACAGACACAAAGAGTCACAGATGGAGTGAATAGATAGAGCTGACAAGCTGCCTAAAGCAAAATTCACCAATAGTTTCTACCAGAGGGTCCTTTGTAAGTCCTTTGGAGGTCGATGGTTCCTTTCCTGATTGCAAAGCATCAGGCTGACAGCAAGGTTTACAAATTTGGCCTCAGCCAAGCACAAAAGAAAGGAGGGCATCAGTCAGAAAACAGGAAGCAGTGAGTATCTGAATCACAGAGAGGATTTGCAATTAATTCTCTTTCAAACCTGCCATGTCCTTTTCATTACAATGTTGTCATCTAAAGATACAATCACCACAAGACCCTCTATGCTCATTGTCCAGACACCAAGACTGACCCTCTTCTTCTTTCAGGAAATGAGTAAAAAAATTGTTAATGACCCAAATATGCCTGGAATTAAAGAAAAATTAAAGGAAATTAAACAGATCACATGGAGCAGGCACAGTAAACAAAACCACCATCAGGTTTCTGCAGTTAATTTCTTTTCAGAGCATTTGAACATTTCAAAAATGAAATGTGATTAAAAATACAGAGGATGAGCAAAATAACTGAATCAGTCATTTCCATGTAGGATACAGTTCTGCCATGGAACCTAGGGCAGAACCTCCAATCTGCGCTGCTACAAGGGACAATGTGACAGTTAGTGATGAAAACATAAATGACCTAAATCATCCTTAACCTAAATAATAGCATCCTTTCTTTACTTAATTGATAGAATAGAATTAGAATATTTTGGTTGGAAGGAAGAGCATCTTGTCCAACAGCTAGACCACCTCAGAGTGACCAGAAGTTAAAGAACAGTGTTAAGGGCATTGTCCAAATTCTTCTCAAACACAGGTTTGGGCCAACAACCACCTCTCCAGGAAGTCTATTCCAGTGGTTGACCACCCACTTGGTAAAAATAAGATTCCTAATGTCCAGTACAACCTCTCCTGATGAAGTAGCTTTGAACTGTCCAAACTGGGTGCAGCACTTGCTGTCACTGGACCCCAGGGAGATGAGATCTGCACCTCCCTCTCCACTTCCCCTCTTCACGAAGATGTAGAGGTGGCCCCTCAGCCTCCTTTTCTCCAAACCAGACAGCCCCCAAGTCCCCAGCTGTTTCCCTGCACCCTCTCTCTCCCAATTTATACTTGGTTCCTGGTGTTTCTCCATCCTGGGTGCAGAGTCCAGCATGTGGATGACATTTATTGACAAAGAAATGCAACTTTTACAGATCTCTACATTAGAGTAATAGTGGGGTTTTTTTAACCAACCAATCTCCCTTATAAAATTCATGCTTGTCTGTGCTGCTTTATTAAAGCCTAAGTATTGAAAAAGTAACAGCAGAAAGTGCTAGGCTCATGAGATTTAATTAGAACAGTGTAACAGATTTTGAAGGTTCTGCTGTATTATAAAACTTAGATTTCCCCTGTGAATTATCTGACCCTACATGTAATGAATCTATTTCTTGAATTAAAAACATGCTCATCCAAGAGTTCCAGGACAAACAGAAGATCTATCATTAACAATAAGTAATATTTAATAAACATACACTCCATGCCTGGAAATCTACCAAATGTCTCTCTAGGCTCTTTCCTTCCAGCCAAGCAGCTATTTCTGTGGATCTGAACTTAAACTTGTAGACGTAAGTCATATCACGTAATTGTTGCTGCAGTATCTAAGGCATTACATAACACTCGTGTCTTACAAGTTTGACTTTGTTCCTATGTCAGCAAACTATGAAATGGTTTTTCAGTTCAGTGAGAATGATTTTGAACCATTGGCTATACATTTCATAGTACTATGGCTTGTAGTATTAGTATTATTTTTGTTGTACTTATGGAATTTAGTTTGTCATGCATTTTTCAGCCCAGACTCACCCTTCTAAATTCAGAACCTTCTATGACATGTCTAAATTGGGAGCAAAGTGCCATGTGCTTCCAAAATCTGTCAACAGAGGGAAACAGCCATCTCTACCTACCAGAGATCTAGCCTACCTTCTGATGAAAATCCTCCTTAAAATGGGAAAGGGAGAGCTTTTTTTAGGAGTTCATTGGGTTTTGGCAGTGTTTGTATAATTTCCCTGCTGAAAGGTAGGTAGCAAATTTTGAACACAGTACCTAAGCATGTTGTTATATAGAAATATCTTTGTTAAGGAAATCATTAGAAAATAATCCTGCTCTTATTTTGCATCAATTTTAACAAATATCTAAATTACAGATTATTATATTTCTAATGGCATTTCTAGCAAAAAAAAAAAAGTGTAACAGCCAGGAAGAAGTAATAACTGCAGCCCATTTACCACCAGGTTAGCAGGAAATAAATGTCATTTCACTATTGTTCTCTTGTTATTGAGTTTATTGGTGCATTTATGCAGCTCTATTTCATTTGCACATATATGAATAGCACTGCTTTATAAAATGTAAATGGGCTGCACATGGAATTTAAATCTTTCCAATGATAAAATTCCTCAACAGCCTTTTCATTAGAATTACTAAAAATTTTGAAGTCCGTGTTTGCTTTTAAATTAAACCACTGCTATTTTTATTCAAGCACAGAGAGCAGGAACAGTTCAGCTGCACTTGCCTGTCAGTTTATTCAAAGAGGGTGCTTACTAATTCACTGATATCCCATTGCCTCGGTAAATAAGGACACAGACCTACACAACACCCTCCACTTGTCTTTTTATACAACCCCTCCAATTGCTGCTCTGGGGGCAGGGCTCTGCATCTGGACAATCTTCCTTTCCACTCATCACATGCTGTAAATGTGGAAACAGGGTGAAAAGGAGGTTTTGAGTACATCCTCCAGCCTTCACCTTTGCCTCCTGCATTTTATTGTGACTTTATCTGAAAGCAATCAGGACCAGTAATGCCATCCTTGATTATAACACTTCATAACTGGCATTATTCTGCCAGGAAATGGATGTTCAGCTGGGATCACCATTATGCTCTCAAAAGACAGCTCTCAAGTTAGACCTCCCTCCACAGCACTGGAAAAACTGTAAAACCTGAATTATTCTCATATCCCCTTCTAGGCTAGATCCTCCCTCTTCACAGCAAATACTCTTGGTTGTCACAGGTGTTTCAGGCACTGTTTTCTGTCTGTAGATTGCTGTGTCCCTGGAATCCCAGTCAAGGTGAAGACTTTGTCAAGAAAAGCCAAATCTGAAATAAGCTCATAGTCTACATCAGCCAGAGCCAGATAGGGAAAGGTGGATGCAAGGAAAGAAGAACAAGGTAACAAAAATAACTTCAGCAGAGAAGCAGGAGCTCAGATGGCTCCGCATTCAGAAAAACAAATGTGTCCCTTCACAAAGAAAATTGTCAGTAACTGGAACTGCAAATACAGTGCATGGCATACTGTTATCACTCAAGTCAAATCTTTATCATAGCAGGATTTTTTTTATCCAACATTTATATTTATTACCTTCTCATGAGCTTTTCTTTTTGTTTCAGAGTCCATCCAGTCGTTCTCCTTTTCTAACATGTCAATAAAAGCCCAGCGAATTCCTTCAGTCAATTCCTCCATCTGCAAAATATTTAGTAAATCCCTCCCCAGTAAAATATATCATGGCAGAATCATTGTAAGGAAAGTTTTGGTGTGTATAGGAGTGATAGATTTGTTCAGACTACAAATAATTGCAGATCAGATGGTATCTGCTCTCCTTTCTTGAAGGCTAATTTCTGATTTCTCCAGTAGTAACATGCTTCTTCTGAAGGCAAGTTTTTTTCCATCTTCTTTCCCTTCTGGCATCACACACCCTGTTCATTGCTGATCATTTCATGTCATATTTGTGAGAATACCCATCTTGAAATGATAAAAAACACTGAGAGATTTTCAGTCCTTTGGGGAGATTTCTGTGCCTTAGGTTCTAGATCACTGGCCCATGCAAAAGGAGCCAGCTGAAAGGCATTTGCACAAATAAAGCCTTTTCTGCAGAATGCCTGTGGCCTCGTTTGGTTTATGTGAGACAGAGACACGCCTTATTAATACTGGCAAAGAACTGAATTTGGGCTGACAGCATCATGATCCAAATACAAAGCAGCATCCAAATATTTAGCCTGTATTTAGCTGCATTTGTGAAGCATTGCTACCCTTTACTTACAGCAGGGAGGGAGACCCTGGCTCACACCACTGAGAAGCCTTAGCTGCTTCTGTGGTCCTGGACCATAAATGACAGCTTGGATCTGAGCAAAACTGGGAAAGCCCACAACCACTTCACCTCAGCTGCTTCTTCAGACACCTCTGCAAAGCCAAGACCGCATCTCAAGCAAGTAAATAATAATAATAATAATAGGACTGTTCAGTGAGCATGCACATTAAGAAAACCCTGAAATTACAAAAAACAAGAAATATAATGGCTAAGATATGCATTATATGAGTCTAAAGAGCCCTCATTCCTATGGATCTGTCTGGCAGCCCAGAAGTGTATGCAACCTGCTGTCTCTATTTATGTCAGCAGATGAACCCCACAACAAATAGCCCTGGGAATGCTGTGAGAGTGAGGCAATGAGAGGGATCCAGCCACTGCCTGAGTCCTTTAGCACAAACCAGAGTTGAGACAGCACAAGACATGACAGATACCCATTAGATGAAGACTTATTGGAACTTTGTGTTATCAGTTATGTTACATTTGAAAATAATGAAAATGTCAAGCAGCAGAGATTTGTATAATCTTATTCTATAAATCTAGTAGATCTGAAATGTCATTAAAAGCAGGGACTAAACCCTTAAAAGTAACATTTCTTTTAGCTAAATTGTCATTAATGTATCAGACAAACATTTTAATCTGGAACTGTCATTTATTTGTGGTGAAGTGGGAAAAAAAATGTAGCAAAGTTCCTTGGATTATTCATTTTTCCCCTACCCTTTTCAAAAAACATTTTTGCATTTTTAGAGGCAATATGGGTCAACGAGAGCAGGTCTAGCATTAACTATGACTAAAGAGTAAACATTCACAGTAAACAGCATCCCAGGAAATAGGGTAACTTAAAGATATTGATGACAGAGCACTGACTCAATTAACTTTGCTCACTAATGAGGTGAACTCCCTGTATTTGGAGGTTACAAGTTCAAACTCAAGCTCTGCAGAGGGGCCCTGGTGTATACTTAAGCTTTCTGCAGCAGCTGTAGCTGCAGGGGGCAGGGGCAGAAACCTATTCCTGCTATCAAAGTTATTACTGAAACTGCTCAGGCGTAACTGTAAAAAACACTGCAGGCACTCTGAGTTAGAAGCAGTGCTATATTTAGACACAAATAATGTCTTTCTTGATAAAAGAGGTATCTAAGGTATGAAACATCAATCACAAAACATGGTGGGGGGAAAGAATCCATATTATCTGCAAGTCAGGATTTGCTTATCATAGACAGATATATGCCATAAGCCAGAAAAAAAAAAAAAAAAAAAAAAGAAAAAACCTGTACAAATAAGAGCTTTACTCACATGCACTCTTACTGCTTAAGAAAGAGAAATAGAACTGAAAACCACTGAAATGAAAATGATAACACCACAAATTATTAACTTGAAAAGTACACTTCTAAATGAAATGCAACGAATTTCATCTGTATGTAATTTTATCTCCATGGGTTTTTCATTTTAAGACTGAATGTTGTGACCTACACTATGAATTTTATATGCATTTCTCACTATGGGTGCTACTGCGAATTCAGACTTCATAGTTTTCCAAAGCTTTGGTCTAAAAGGAATGTGCATACTAAGAAACATTCTAATTAACTTGCATTTCAAGAGAAACTCTGCTCTATCTGCTTCTCATAATTTTTCCTCACACATGCAAATATGAAAAGTGTCCATCCCCTCCATATAGTGTACATTTCTTATACTCCTACTCTTCCCACTTATCTGTGCAGGATAACATACTGCATATGCCTGGCATATTTTTGCCACAAAATGGCCAAATAGCGCATTACAAACTGGATCAAAAAAAAAGGAGATGGAAAAACTGGATCTCAGAGAGGAAACTCCAGCTGAAGGCAAATATGAAAAGAAATGCAGAACCTGAGAGGGAAACAGATGACAAAGATGTGGACAAGTCAAATAAGCATGTGGTTTCTAAAATGGGATCCTTCCCTGTGAAAGCAGTCCAAGGGGATAAAGTCAAAGGGGCAAACTCAGGCTACTGAGCCAGGGCAGTGCAGGGCTTCCACAGGGCTGCTGCTCCCAGCACAGGGTCCCATCTCATGTCTCCTCAACGGCTGTGCCTCTCCTGCATGGAGAGCTAAGTTCATGACTAAATCAGTCAATTTAGAACTGATTACTGCTTGAAAATCAATGGCTGTAAAAGCAGATATTGGAAAACTTCATAAGAAAAGCATGGACTGAAAATAAGTCATAAATTATTGTGAAGGGTTATTAATTATTTGAATATTGAAAATTTTAGAATGAGGATGAACATTTCTCTAGACTCAAAGGTATGGAAGAATATTTCCTTCCACTGTACAGCAGGAAAAATTTGAATCCCAGATACAAACTCTCACTATGTGACTCTCAGCTTCCCTTAATTTGGGCCAGATACCAGTCACATGTTTTTTGCTCAGATTACACAGACTGCTACTGTGTAGCAGTCACAGTTTTCAAAGAGCAATCCTAAAGCAGAGAAATCTCAACCAGTTTTTTGATTAGTCAGTGAAAACTTTACCATAATAAATTATATTAGCAATACCAAACTATTTCTCATCAATACCCCTCACTCTGGTCCTGCACAGCCTGGCTGTCATTATTTACATAAATTAACAGTGTTCAACCTGTTTTTGAACTGACTGCTTATTTTTCTGTAAGACTGCAGATGGAAAGAAGGGGCAGTGCCCAGGTGGGCAGAAAGTTAACACTTCTTCAAATTAATTCCATTTTCTCATAGTGTTTTTAAATTAAATAAAAACATTTTCAAAAATCTTATATCTTTTAAAACTTTGTTCTAACATCAGAGGCAATTTGTGAGGATGAAACCACTAACTGAAAATTTGCAGACAGAGACTGCAGAGGACTCACCATCTCTTTCTTGTCTTCTTTAAAATGGGCTTTCACAAACATCTTACCCACAACGTAGGGGAGGGCATTTTCTACAAGGTCCACACATTTATCCCACTGGGGCAGCAAAGTTGTAGTCCCATGGATCACCTGTAGACAGGGGCAAGTATTAGGCCATAACATCATGCTGTTTAAGAAGAATCTACACGGGGTACACACCAAAGCATATTTGTCAAAAAGCCACCAAAAGGAAAAATAATGATACTCTACAGTCATTCCTATTTTCATCTAATGCTATGACAAATATTTTGAACACTACAAAATACCTGTAAGATTTTAAACTTCAGAACAGTACCATGGTAGCAGTGATTTAGAGGGACTAGGCTTTGAGAATTAGTGCTTACTTTGGACTAATCTTGGTATTCTTTCTGTGTGAGAGACAATTTCCTCTAGAAAAACCCTGCTGTGAGATATCTCCTGAAAACGTTTCCCTCTCCTCTGACAGGGTGAGAAGCCTAGGAAGATTGTCCTCATCAAAATTGGGTTAGTCCTTATGAAACAGCTCCTGCAGAGCCCTCCATCACCATGAACTAATGACATCTAACACAGATGGGTACAGGTTCATATCTTCTTGTCATTTACCTGTCCAACTACTTTTATGGCAGTTTGTGTAAAGTAGTAAAATTGCTTTCAGTTCCTTTCCCAAATGGAGCATTTTCAGGAGAAAAGAGGTTTAAATCATCAAGAACACTTAATATGTTTGCCTCCCCCCAAAAAAATTTAAAAATCACTCTATGTTGCAGTAGAAAGACATTGGTAGAACAACTTGCATGCTTTACTAAAGGAATGGTATTAAATCCATACTTTCAGGCTCTGATGATGTCACCATAAATGAGCTTCAAAAGAAACAGTCAAGAATGGTCAACACAACAAGGGACAAGGTAAAACAGAACTCAAAAGCATTTGTTGCCTTGGTTTCTGTTTCTCCCAGGAGCAATCTTATTACTGTGGGTGCTTACCTAGCTAACATTACATTGCTCATCAAGATGTAGTTTGTGTAAATAAATCCTGCACACAAGATAGAAGATGAGCTCATATGCACAATAAACAGTGCTGATTTAAGAAACTTCTGTTATTTTCATTGTTCAAAGTGTTCCCTTCCCACTTAAGCAACTTAAGCTTTTCCACAGAGAAGAAACACAATTCCAGTCTGGCAGCCAACACCTGACAGCAGTGTAAAGGCAGACTATAGTCAGCATCGGAGCAGAGCAAGTGGGATAGAGATTCTGGCCTCTCACAGATTATAAAAGCCTTTTAAGCACCAATTTTGCAGTTTCTGAGCCCTTTCTTTTTTCCCATTATTCTCCTCCTTTGAGCACAAGATTAAATGTCCAGCAAAATGAAGGGTTTGGATTTGTCTTTTCCCAATAGGAAAATATTTCATTGGAAAATTCCAGAGCAGCTTAACCCTCAACTATTGAAGGTGAGATATTTTGGTAGTTCAAAGATTGATTTTCCCTATCATATTGTCTATAATTAGGCATAATCAATGACTCACACTTAAATACACCAGTGAATTGCATTTCCAAGTGCTTTTTATTAATACTCTATATGCAGTAATAGATTTTCGATGGCAAAGAGTACATTGCTTCTAAAAAGAACCCCTATTAGTCAAACCAATAAAAAATAAGGTGTTTTTTTTCTAAACAAAGCCAAATTTGACAATCAACTCCTTTTCCAAATTCTTCAACCTTGATACATAACACAACAAAACACTCAAAAAAAGATAAGAACAAAAGAGAAGAAAATTTCTCTCTAGGGTCAGAGTAAACCTGAAATGGAGCTTTTTCCTGGTACAGGGGAAAGAATGGAACTATGGTATTAGTCATCAGAGCTTGAAATTCCTTCCAAAAGCTGTGAGTATGCATCAGCCATAGGAATAGTCAGGAGACAGGGCTGACTTTTAGACTGTGGCATACTATTATTACAACATAATAATTATCATTATTTTGAGGGAGGCTTGACTGTAAGGAGGACATAAAGGCAGCACAGGCTGTGAGACCAATAAAAATAGAGCTGAGAGGAATAGATTATATCCCACAGCTGGTTTATTGATATTTATGTCACAACAGCCAACAGGAACTCCCTCAAATGGTCCTCCTAATATTAATGTACCACTCTAAAACACAGTACTTCAGGTAGTAACAGTGGCTATAAATAGCAGGTTTCAAGCCCTCCCAGCCAATTCAGAGCTTCATGACACAATTAACCAACCTCTTCCCCAGGTGCCACTGCACATTTACAAGGCCTCAAAGTGCCACTGCAGAGGAGCTGCTGATAGTTGCTGGTGTGGGTACTCAAAGCACTTTCTCTAGAGTCAGCAGGTTTGTTCTATTTCTAAACCTGAAGTTTTTTTAAAGTCTCATCATGCATTTTTCTTTCTCCTTGCAAAGATTTTAAGACCCTGGTGCCAAGATTTCTACACATCAGGTATAAAAGCCACCAATAGAAAGTGAGAAACTGGAGAAAAAAAGTCTGCTTATGATGGTTGAGGCTGACTAATTAATGAAACAATGGATGTATAAAATACATCCTTTTCTTTAATGGTCACAGATTTATCTCATGGCCATAACTTTTTAGTAGTAATTCAATGTTTTATTCTCTTACCTGACAGAGGGGTTGGTGGTTCTTTTTTATGATCCTAAAGTGCCACTAGTTCTCCATCCTCTGACTAGACAAATCTTACTCAACAATAGACTAGTGCAATGCCTTGGACTCCATTCCTCATGTCCTTTCTATTGACCTGTGAAATCTACACCCATTTACATGGCCAGAATTGTTTAACTTATTCATCAGTGACTTGCAGGAAGGGGCAGGGGCCTCCTCAGTGAGCTCCCTGCAGACCCAGAGCTGGCAGGAGTGGCCAGTACCCCCAGAGCTGGGCAGCCCTTCAGAAGGGCCCTGACAGGCTGGAGAGAGGCAGAGGAATGGGCTGGGATTCAGACAAGGCAAATGCAGGGCCCTGCACTGGGGAAGGACCAGCCCAGGCAGCAGCACAGGCTGGGGGTGCCCTGCTGGAAAGCAGCTCCGCAGACAAGGGCCTGGGGTCCCATGGACAATGAGCTGTCCATGAGCAGCAGTGCCCTGGGGCCGAGAGGGCCAATGGATCCTGGGGTGCATTAGGGACAGCAGGGCCAGCAGGGCAGGGAGGGGATCCTGCCCCTCCACCCAGCCCAGTGAGGCCTGTCTGGAGGGCTGGGTCCAGCTCTGGGCTCCTCAGCACAAGACAGACAGAGATTTCTGGAGCAGGTCCAGTGAAGGGAAACAAGGATGAAGAGACTGAACATCTCTCTTATGAGGAAAGTCTGAGGGAGCTGGGCCTGCTTAGCCTTGAGAAGAGACAACTGAGGGAAGCCCATCACTGTTTAAAAGTATCTGCAGGGGAGGTGCCAAGAGGATGGAGCCCTTTGGAGGCTCTTTTCTGTGATGCTGAGCAATAGGACCAGAGGCAGAAATTGATGCAGAGGAAGTTCCACCTGAACATGAGGAAGGATTTCTTTCCTCTGCAGGGAACAAGCACTGGCACAGATTGCCCAGAGAGAGTTTGGAATCTCCTTCACTGGAGATGTTCAAGAACCACCTGGGTACAATTCTGTGCCTTGTGCTCTGGGATTGCCCTGCTTGAGCAGGGAGGGAGGTTGGACCAGATGACCCCACTGTGGTCCCTTCCAATCTGACCCATTCTGTAATTCTATGACAGCCTTGATGAGATCATTAATAAGCACTCAATCACTTTGAATTCAATTTCTCTCTAAGCTTCTATGTCCCAGAGATGTGACAGCAGCCAGTTACCATATTAAAATGCACAGTACCCAAAGCTTAATGTTTTCTTTCAGGATTTTTTCTGCCATTATATAACTCAATGTAACTCAGTATTATGCTACAGACTGGCTGATAGCCAGCATCAATATATTTTACCTGACTAGCAAGAAATGTCCTAGAAGGGAACACCTACAAACTTGTCACTGTGGTTCTGACAGCCAATTTCTCATATTTTACATTAAGAAAATAGCATCTTTAACAAGACTATTTTGAATATGATCTCAGAAGTACAAGAGGCTGCCTTTCCTATGTAGTTTCCATCAAGCTATTGGAGATTATTGCTAGGTATGTGATCAACTCAGAACTATTCCAGTACTCCTCAAAGCAAAACAGTATAGATTATTTAGTCACCTGCATGGCTCACCAGGGAGGACAGAACATCCACACCTCCTGCACCATGCCAGCCACCTGTTGTCCGCCAATTTTCATAATGGCAAACAAAGTTCAGCATCCAAAGAAGCTGAGACACAAGACCAAGCACCATTCAGTTTCAGTTTCATCCTTGGTTTACTTAAGGAGCCCTCACACTGCCCACAAAATTACCAAGGTGGATTTCTATTCAGGGTTCACTGAATCAAATGTATGTGTTTTACATAGATGCCCATATTACTGAACAGATAATTGGTTCTGCTCTCACAGCTTCTGGCACTTTTCTGGTTCTTCTGCAACCCCAAGCTGGAAGGCACCTGATCATTTTCTCTGTGGAAATGACTGGGTATCCTTGTGCTTGAGCTCCTGTAATGGCATTAGAGCATGGGAGAGTGCTGAGAAAGCTTTAAAAAAATAAAATCCTAGACTTCTGGTTTAGTACAGCTGTATTCACAAGTGGGCAAACAGTAGTTTTCAAAAAGTATAGATTTTGGTCAAAAGGGTTTGGCCTGAATGTCACAGCCCACATAACCTAATTCAAGTTTCTGCCAAGGAAGACTAAATTTTTTAAAGGGGAGGTTTCAAAGCCTCTCTAACATCATCTAAAAGACTTTTTTTGTTTTAGTGTCATGTAAGTGTCTTAGTGACAAAAAATATGTTTATCAATTGTTTTAGAGGCTGTCTTCAAAAATAAAAAAGTTTATTCAAGAAATGTATCCAGCATGGAAAACATTTTTTGTTTTGCAAAGGTATAGGCAACTATAAGGGAAACCAAGAGTGTCAGCACTAGGACCCTGGTAAATGCTATGAAAGCATAACTTACCCGAGAAAATTCCAGCCACCGATACTGAAAGCGTCTACTGAGGTTAAATAACCTTGAATAAACCATCCTCCATACCAGGTAATTGGCAAGAGTCCTGTTAAATCAGGAATATTTTTTATCAAACATGCAAACACATATGATGTACCACAAAGCACTTACAGAAATATCTCCCCAAACATTTTACCCCAATGGTGGAAACTTCACCTTAAAAATTAATGAGTGATGGCCAAATTGATAAATCCCAATTACATGGAAGAATCTGTATGATTGCAGCCATTTAATATATAATTGCCCCATAATAACCATCTACTAGGGATAATTTATAACAGGTCCATCACATAGTATGTAATTTTTAGGTAATGTTTTATTTCAAAAGGCAGCTTTGATTTTCCTTAGAAGTGGCAAGAACTGTGTTATAATAACAGTTGCATCAAAGTTCTATCCAGAGATTAACTGGTTTTTCTTTTGTAGATCAAAGTGAATGTTATCTCCCCTCATTAGTAGGGCACATAAATGGTAACAGAATAGATAACAGTCCATCCCATATACACTCTCATTATCTCGTATTTGTATCTTTCATTAGAAGTTATCAATATGCTTTGAAAACTTCTACTATTCACAAAGTTATTAAAGTATTACCATTCCTGTTTTGTCAGATGGATAATTGAAATACCAAAAAAGAGAAGTATCAGTAACAAAAATCTTCTGAGAATTGAGGCTGAGAGATCAAGGAAGAGCTTGTTTAAAATTCCCAGGAGATCTGGCATCCATGCCCCTTTTCTAAAACTTTGGGCACCTGACTGGAGGATTTATGCATCCTAGGTTGATATCTCTCCATGTTCAGCAGTGGCTGTATGAGCTAAAGGTGCATTCTGAAATACACAATTCAACCTCAAACAGTCTCAAAACAAGTCCAACAATGGCCTACACTTCCTATTCTCACCTTCTTTTATACATGACATATTTTTCAAGGACAGTCATTGCTTCAAAGGCAGGACATTCAAATGTTATTTGTTTCCCACTGGGATATTCATAACATTTCTGACAGGCCATAGACTTCTCTGTGAATAGGAAAATGGCTCCTATGCAACCAAGGGTGCTATTATGGGCTGTCTGAACAACTCCCCCATCTCTAAAATCCCATTTCTGCAATCTCCCATTGCCATAGGTGTGGGGCAACGCAGCTGTTGCTGCAGTGTCACTCCATTAGAGACACATCACTCAGAGACACATCCCAAGCAGCTCCCTCCTCTGAATCAGAACAGCTTGGGAATGCACTTTGTGGGCATGCTGTCTTGACAGCAGCATTTGCTTGAGACATAATTTTGGTTTTGCCTCTAACCAGGCTCCAGTCCACCCACACAAAGCCTTCAGCTCAAGATGTGTTGCTGCATCTCTCACACTGGGTATATTCCGTCTTTTAGTACACAGATATATTCTATAGTGCACCTAAATGCCCATAATAATTGTAAAACATATCTGGAAAAGATTTTTTAGCATGTGACATGTACATTTATAAGATGGTACAAGTCACAAAAGCCAAAATAGTTAGCTCTGTTTAGAAAATCACACCATTTTAGGATCATTAAAAATTCATTTCAACCTAAGAAATGCCACAAAGTTCAGACTTGTCCCTTAAAAAGTTTCTGACAATGTGGAATTTTCTCACTCAATGACAAGTGAAGCACCCTAGGTTCTCATTGTTTTGGTAAATTACTCAAACTCCAGAAACCTCACAACAATCTGCCTCAGATATTTCAGCAGAGCTGAAGAATACCCAGCTGTAGCCACTTCTGCAGCATTTATACAAATCTCACAGATTAAAAGGTTAAAGATTTGCTTCCAGTCAAAAGCCTTGGGTAAAATCCTTAGCTAAATAAATCAATATCATGCACCAATTACATATTACAATTTGGTACTTACTCACAAAACCAAAATCAATTCTGTCTTCTGTGGACTTGTTTTCACACAGCAATGTTTGTCCTTACATTTGAGTTGGGGAACTTCTCTCAAAATGGCAATGAATGAAAGACTGAAATTCATAAAGCCTGGGTCTCAAAAGGTGACTTATTGAAAGGCAGTAATATCAACAAAGATTCGGAAATGTTTGTGTCAGGTATAAGTAATGAAGGTGGATGACAGTTGCAGGAAATGTAATTAATTGGTGATTGCTTTAATTTGGGAAGGAAAAGGCTGACACATGCTAAAACCAATTATTACTGTCTGATGAGACAGTAATAATTCCAGATTGTAACCACAACAGAATCCACAATGCATTAAACAACAGGGAGGTTCCACTTGAATGCTTATGGATCAGGGGTGGGAAACAGGTGGAAAGGTTGAGGGGGTTTGTTGTCATGTGTTTGAAGCCCCATGTGATTTAGTTTGTTTTTTAAAACAAAATAAAATATTAATTTATCTGAATTTATTTACCTATTTGGGGAATGATTATTTTACATTTTGGGCTAACTATGCAAACTTCAAATCATTTCATTATCTTCAGTTGGCTTAAAAACTGACACTTTTTGCTGATAAAGTTGCTACAGTGCAGATCTTGGGGTGATTTTCATCCTAGTTTCACAAATAAGTTCACTGAGGCTCAGAGAAGCTAATCTCTACACATCAAGCAAAATCCAGTACCCAAATAAAACATAAAAATCCTCTCTGTTCTTTCAGTGAGACCAGACTATTTGTTGTTGTAACCCTTCAGAAGAGTACACTCTATTTTAACTTCCTGCTAAATGCCTGTTGCAGAAAGTGTAGGCTCACTTTTAACCAGTATGACCCTTATTATGACACACACTCCCAAAGGAAGTGGTAGAGAGATTGTTTGCTGGGACAGTTAAAATTATACCAGTACTTATGAATATTTACTAAAGCACTTTCTGTCCTGTCTGAGAATAAAGTAGGTTGCTCATGTAAAATTCTGTAAGTTTGCAATATTTTAATCAACAGACATGGTAGCAATTAAAGAGGACAGATTTAATATGAGATAGGTGGAAAAATTAATTGACATTTTAAGAAAAAGATCTCTCACAAATTTTAGATCTGTTTGAAAATTCTATTCAGAATTGAGTCACGAATCAAATTAAAAGTACTGAAAAACTTTTGCCTCTATTGCTAGAGGCACTAATTCAAGGCAAATTATTGTAACTTCTCTGATTTTCCAGACACAGACTAAGATCAGAAAAGAGATTCAGTGCCTCTCTCCATCTCTGAAGAAAATTCCTCATATGCTATATGAATTAGAGCTCTTCTCAATTAACAGTCCCATATTGCAAAGGTATGGGAAGGTAAGACAAGGGAAAAGGGGCCTGCAAGAAAGCTGGAGAGGGACATTTTACAAGGACATACAGTGATAGACAAGGGGGACTGGCTTTAGACTGAAAAAGGACAGATTTATTATCTGTTGGGAGGAAATTCTTTACTGTGAGGGAGATGAGGCACTGAACAAATTGTCCAGTGAAGCTGTGGATATCCCATCCCTGGAAGTGCTCAAGGCCAGGCTGCCCTTGCCTCATGAACTCCATGAAAGTCAGGGTCCAAAATGGGATTAGATACCCCACTATGCCTGGCCCTAAATCTTGATGATTACCCCAGTCCACCTGAGAACTACGAACACCAACACTTAAAACTCTAAGGACTTGGCGGTGCCCCAAACCCACCTAGAGGAGCCTGTTCTGTAATTGATGATCCATGATACATAGGGTCCTTCCAATCCAAACCATTCTATGATTCTATTAAACTAGTTATGCTTTCTGAGATCTATGAGAATGAAAAAGCTGCTTCTTTCAACAGCTGCAAAGATCTCCAGAAAGGATGGATTTCGAGTATCCTATTTATGGCTCCCATAAAACACCAGCACACCGGTAACAGGGAAGGGATATAAGCTCCCAGTTAGTGCCAGCACAGTTCTGTCTCCCCCCTCACATGGCACAGCTGTACTGGAGCTCTGCCATGGCTCATTTACATTACAGCTACATACACACTTCTCTTCTTCCTCTAATAGAGATATACCCCATAAAAATGAATTAGTGCACCAAAAAGCTGAAGGAAACCTTGGAGATCTCTCATAAAGGCGTGACTTCAGCGCCTGACATGACTAAGGCTGGCTATCCCCCAAGCTGGTAGAAACTCTTGCAGGCTGGTTGTTGAGCTTCTTGGGCAGCTGGCTATGGAGAGCCCAGCTCCTGGGGTGGAGTCACAGCAGTGCCCTGGCCTGGGGACTCCAGACTGACCTCTGGACACTGCTGCACCTATTTCAAGCTCCACTCAATAACTTGATTATATGCAGTTAAGGAAAATTCTGCTCAACTCATGCTACACCATGTCAATGTGCTCTCTTCTAGTAATATTGCCCCGTGAATGATTTCACAATTCAAGATTGCTCAGCAGGTTCTCTGAGGGAGAAATTTTTAATACAGGCATTGCGAGTTTGTACAACTTGCCACTTCCAACATAAATTGCTTCTGTAACCAGACTTAATTTTCACTCCATTCTTTCCTCCACCTGAAGCAAACTTCATTAAATACTTTACCAGATCACTGGGTAAAATACTGGGGCATGAGCCATCTTTTTGTGACATTTTAAATAGTACCCAGGCTAGCAGGGTGCTAATTCAGGAAGACGACATACAAAGCACTGGAATAAAAGTATAATTTAGGGATAGCCATGTAACTGAAAAGAATATGAACTTGATGAAAGTACCTGCTTTTCCTAATGACACTCCATCTCCTGAAATTATGAGAATATAATTCCCATGATGAATACTGAAGCAAATCTAAAATTTTGAAATGCTTTTCTAGGAATTTCAGGTCTAGATATTTACAGTAACAAATCAAATTCATGTTGTTTACATTAAATAAATCTTTAAAATGTCATATGGAGAATGACAAATGAGATTACCTAAAAGAAAATATCCTTGTTAAGCTTTCACAGTTCACCCTACAGGGAAATGCTGAGACCTCATTGTTAGGAGTCCACATTGAGATGATTTCCCAATTTTCTCAGGCCAGATAGCAAGGTTATCTCTGGAGCAGACTCTGACATTTTAAGTAATGAACATTAACACCTAATAGATAAACATGGTCTTGGTTATCAGGCCTGGGCTGTTTGGATACATTTTACACACAAGAATTTGAAGCCTGCTTGGGTTCAGTTTAGCACTATTTGCCATTTCTAACATTTTATGATGCCAATTTCTTAGGATAAGACTGGGCAGAAAATGCCTAAGCCATTAACACCTATAAAATATGCAGTGTGAATATGCTGGAACTGATTTTGCTCACCCTCTCCCCCTGACCTGTGAGGTCGGAAACCTGGTCTTGAGCTTTGCTAAAGACAGGCATTGCAATTATTTCTGGTCTTTCTCCAGCGTCCTTCTGCCACGACACACAGGCTGGCTTAAATTCTCTTGCATACTCAGATTTTCCTTGAATAAGAAACTTATGGAAAAAGTCTCCAAGTATTTACTCTGTAGTTACAACATATACTTGCATCTAAGAGTATTTTTATGCAGGAAATAACTAATTCTCTGTTATCTTGCTAGATATGCATCCTCTAAATCATACATTTATACCCACTGATATAACAAACTTTGAGTTAGAAAGCAGGGACAGCCCAAATAATTTTAAAAACTTTCTTCAATAGATTAATATTGGCACCAGTAATGCTACTTATCTGACTCTTTTTAAAGAAAGGATATTTGATGATCTGCAGGCAAATCAGTAATTTCTATTTTTCTAATTGTTTGATTTGTGTTCTATTTTTACAGGTACTATGAACTAATGTAAGTATCCCATCACTAGTGACAGAGAGAGACAATATAAGAATAATCTTTGTCCTTTTTTTCCTGAAATACATTCGGCTGTGGCCATACTGTACAATCAGCACAGATTGATATTTGGAGACAACATCTTAACAAAATTTATTTTCAAGTTCAGTAACATGCCTCAGAGACCAAATTATCACAGAAATCCCTTAGATGTCATCAGTAAGGATGTTTCAAATGGGATGTCACTTTTTCATTACTGCCCAAAGCTGTCTTGCTTCCCTGTGCAAAGCACATCTACCATGTTTAATTTGAGCTACCTGCATTTTACAACTCTGTTCTACAGGTGTAAAGGATTTCACAAGATACAAGACCCTATAAAAGTAAGAGATGCTGAATGCTTCTGGAAAGAGCAGCTTTACTGCAACCTGTGTTAACCATAGAAGAAATGTGTTGAAACTGAAAATTCTCTTGCTGTGCACAGGGTAATATCTAAATCCTCATTCAGACAAATCCAAACAGACTGTTTGCCTAGAGACTCGATTCCAAGAATAGCTGAAACTCATGGGAAAAAAAATAGAAAAGGCATTTGATGTCCCCTTACAAGTGTGAGTGAAACCATCATAAGATCCTTACTTTTTCCTTTCATTTTCTAGTATCCTGAATAAATCTTTGAAGTATTGGGGAACACGGACAATCACATTTTCTGAAGGACCTATATCTTTAAGCTCAGGATAGAGTTTGGTGTCAATCACCTTCTTGATGTATCCCAGCCAGTCAAACTGCAATGACAAAGAGAAGGCTGGTTAAAGCAGATTATGGAAGAGAGATGATTTATTAACTGAGCTACACCTTTAAAACTAATCGTTTCAATGCTTTACTTATTAAAAACTTAGAAACTATTACACTTGGTCATTACATATGTTTTCAATCCTCATTAAAGTTGGAACTATATTTAAGAGAACATACTCTGCAAATGAGCACACACATTCCTAATGATACTTCTTTAACATGCTGCTCTGAACACTAAAGACAGTTTTAATTATACAGGTCAGATAAAAAAAAAAAAATTCAGTTCTCCCCAACCAACCTGTGGAATCATGGCACTAAGCTCTGATATGTTCATTTTATTGTACATCACCTCACTTGTTCGGTTTTCATATGGAATCATGATCTGGTGAAGAGAAAAAAATGCACAAAACCATTAAAACAAGGTTTATCTTGCAGGGACTCTTACATCATTACCATCCTCCCTAATCCTGGTGCAGAAATATCTCACCACCTGTTTTCCAAGCATTTATGGCATTAACCTCTGTTTCTGAGGATTGCATTTAAGTGGAAGAAATGGAACATCGTTCCTTTTATGTGTAACTTATTACTGGGAAATTTAATGAGCTGCATGTCTTTGGACTTTAGATTGATTTAGCTCTGATTATGCTAAGGAAAGACATGCTAATACATAAGAGATAAAAGTACACCTAGAGCATTAATATTTATTCATTCCTTCCTATCGAGTAGAAGCCAACCTCAGATTTAACAGGTCAAATCTGAGATAGGTGCACCTTCATAGCTAGAAGTGCATCTCATGTCTTTGAATGTTTTCTTCCTAGGGATTTACTCCACCTGGGGGGAGAGCCAGATACACACAAGTTTCTCCCCATTTCACCCCATCATCCTGATTTCCATAGCAGGAAACCTGAGTATATAGCCCAGACATGAATAAAGCATTCCCCAACCAGGCCTCTCATCTGTGTGACCAGAGGAGATGGATCTCAAGTTCCTCTGCAGCCTCCAAGGATACAGCAAAAGAAATCCTAAATATGAAGCAAGTCCTTTTATAACTGACAAGAAGGACATGCAGACTCCAAGACACCCCTGTGGTTCATAATAGTAAAACAAAGTACAAGATATAGTTCAAGATTTTCTCAGTGTTCAAGAGAAACAAAAATTCCCAATGGCAATTCCAGCCCTGCTGTAAGGTAAATCCTATACAACAGACTGCAATGCTGGGCAGTCTGAAGGACAGAGATTGACACCAGACTAACCAGACAGCTGGCACTTCTCCAAACAAAATTCTCCAGTAAGTGTTTATGGTTTTAGTATTGCTCAAGCCATAGGGGAAAAAATTATTTTCTTTTTCCTTTCTGCAAATTTCATTTATCTGAAAAATCTTTAAACACTTCTTGAAGCCATTTACTCCTTTCCCCTTAAAACCTTCCCTCTAGCTCCAGTGATTCAAACTTAATAAGAAACTCTTCCTTGTACACAACAAGATCTCTCAAAGCATGCCATTCCTTCCTATATCTAAAGTATTTTTGCTGCCTCTTCCTGAGCACAGGAATTCTCCATTGCATATGTTTACTTAGAAAAATGCAGAGGAACACTGGATACAGTAAAACCTCCAGTGACAAACAGGACTACTTCCATCACAGTAAGATGTTTATATAATCATTCTGTTTATTAAGGTTTATGCAACAATCCATGTTCATTGACTCATGCCTAATATCTGGACAGATGTTAGGAGGATTATTTTTACTAAAAGAACCTGTAAGCAAGCATGGCTTGTTGCATAATGACGTGCATTACTGATGCTGAGGGTTGTTACATGATCCATGTCATCTTACATGGCAGTTCCTTTACATACTTTGTGGATAAATGCTCTGTAAGACACTTGTTAAGGAAAGCATTAGAGCTATCAGAGCTAAGGATACATCTTCGTATGCCATCAGTGATAAAGAGAACAAATATGTACTGCTTTTCAAGTGTGCTGGGTCACAAGGAAATATTTGTGCATTAGTCCATCCATGCTAAGTAACTGAAAATTAATATTTGGCTTGGCTTAGATGTTTAACAAAATTTCATCCCTTTCAGCAGAGATGGAAACACTGATTGGCTACTATTGTGGGTGGCCTTCACTTCTCTACAAACACAGCATTAAGAAGCATCCTGTAGACTGCAACAGCAGGGTCCAGATAAAAGACATCTGCTGCATCACCTGTCCTGTGCAACAGGCTTCTCTGCTAACAGGAGACCAGCATTTAACAGGGATAGCTCCTTTCCTTGCCAATATGAAGGAAACTCAGCTCAGCTGGTAGTTCTGCAAAGCAGCATCAAGTCTGTACCCTTACTTTTTGTGGTTTCCCAGCCACAAAGGGCTGTGACCACTGAGGCCAACCTTTCTCTCTAGTTTTAGTAGAGGCTGAAATGATAATGACCTTGCCACTCCCATGAGTGGGATTCCTGTAGTAACCACACTGAAACAGAGATATAGAGAAGCAAAAACATTCCTTCAATCTGCAATAATTATGTGGCATAAATTAAACTCCTTGCAAAAATGATACCAAGTAAATGTCAGAAGCAAGTACCAGTTTTAAATACACTTCACTAAATTCAGTTGATCCCCTAAATTAAAACATCCTCTCTCCCAGACTGCTTTATGAAAACACTAAGGGTGGTACTGTTGTAAACACCACCTCTCACCACCAAGATCCAATATCCCACCTAAGTCTTACACTGCTTTTAGACTGTTACACAAAGAATCATCTCAATCTGCTCCTTAAACAGAGGTGTTGTGTATTCTCAACACAGGTGCATGGCAGGAGCTCAGATTCTACACAGCTTCAAAATTATAGAATCACTTAGGTTGGAAAAGACATGTAAGGTCTTGAGTTATGTCATATTTTTCCAGCTGTCCAGTGGGTACCAGTGCATTGGTGTAGATGCAGTTCAGCTGGGATTTTGATCTCATCGCCTTTTTGGAAGGAGAAGCCCCAACTCCTATTGGACCATCCTCAGGCACTTCCACAGTTTCTAACACCCCTGTATCTCAGCCATATGGATCAACAAACATCAACAGCCCCTGTATCTCTGTTGCCATATGGATCTCCATCCCCCACCTCCACTGAGATGGCAGAACAAAAGGCCTTGCTAATACACCATCCCTTAAACATTGCCATGCCACCCCCAGGCTTGCCTCTGGTCAGCCTGGCTGACATTACAATTTAAAACACCAAGGGTATTTGGCTAAAGTTTTTCCCCTGACATAAAATAAAATAAAATTTAGAGTTTAACAATTAATGAAGGGATGAAGGGAGAAATATTATTCATCCTTTCTTCATCAGGATCTGTTCCTTTCCTTCTGCTTCTAAAATTCCTTTGCTAAAGTTGTTGATACAATGGCTTTTCAGTTCAAGAAAGGATTATGTTGGATTACCAACCTCTGCTATTTTAACTTCCAGTTTTAGAACTGATTTCATATCAGATTCAGCTCGGGAGGCATTTGCACCCAGCAGCACTGCTGTATCGACCATGAACTTCAAAAAGGCATCTCGGTACTGTAGAGAAAGAGAAAGACTGAAATGACAACAGGATTTGCTCTTGAGCAGAGTTGCAGCAGCAGACCAGAAATGTCCAGCTATAGGAAGGGGTATATTGCTTTCATGTCAAGGTTGTGCTTTCCTTACCTTGAATGCCAAGCAAGTTAAAAAGGAGAAATAACATTGTAAAAATACTGTGCATGACAGAGACAACTGCTGTGGTTCAGGGAGTACAAGTCTCAGGAAATGCAAATAACAGTTCTGGATTAGACTGACAACTTTCAGCTCTTACAAATGAATTAGACAATGTGTAAAAGTGTACACCAGTATTTTAGGCTGACTAATACAGTAACCACCATGAGACAGAAGTACTTGTATACAAGTGCAAGCCTCATTTAGGAAACTTTGCAAGAGTGTTTAATAGAAGTGGAGTTTTCTGCTAGATACCCTGCAAAACCCAAATCCAAACAAAGCACAGCCCTTTCTCAGTTTGGAGCTCAACAAAACAAAACCAACAATTAAAAGAGATGAGGGGGAAATGGTGGCTCTATTATCCAGCTGACAATACTTACAGATTTGGCTTCTGTGGTATTTTCTAGGTAATCCTCTCGAGAGGACAGAGAGAGGCTTGCTTGATCAAGCTGTTAAAAACAACACAAAGTAGCATTTAACAGGTAAATTCATCAGATTCAAAGACAAACTGACAAGCAGCTTTGGAAGGGTTCATGTTTTTCTGACAATTACAGTAGTTGTGTGCAAATATCTAACATATAAAACACTGCACCAGCCTGAGTTGGACAAGATTTCAAAACAGGAAAATGCTATGCTATGCTGATGGGTAATTACTGTTATCTGTGATCTGAGGAGCCTCTGATGACCCCCTGCAATAGTTAAGCCACCTAAAGAAAGAATCACAGGTGTGATTTAGGTGTTTAAAACAGCTACATCAGTGAGTAGGAAATGCAAAAGGACGGGGTCTACAGGATCAAATCCCTGGTTCTGATGACCATGCATCCATCTTATGTCTATTCCAGGAGTACAAGAGTCAGCTTGGGACCACACCAGTCCAGTGTATGCACCAAATGCCCCTGAGGTGCTGGAGCATGAGAGCTGCTGTCTGTCTGGGAGGCATCATCAGGTTTTTGTGATTGCAACTGAGGTTACACTTTTGAGCTTCACATAGACCAGCACTGGGGGCTGTACTCAGTCTTTTGAACAGATGAACTGAAACTGAAGTGGCTACCAGCAAGGTTTGCAAGCACAGGATATTGTTATGTCCCCAGTACTTTAGCTAAAGGTGTCTTGTAGTCCAGATGGATCTCTGGCCTTCACTTACCTTTTCCATCTAAACATGGATCAGATTTTCTGGTGTACATTCACCCTAATACTGGAATTAGGCCTGAACGTTTGAGATTTGCATTTAGGGTCTTGAGTGAAACATCTACATGGGAATATTTGCATACTGCTTCATTTGAAACATAGGAATTTTCCTAACCAGGAAAAACTCACTATGCAGCACATATTTTGTAGTAACTACTAGGAACTGAGATTTCCCAGAACTTTTCAATGTGATCAAGTTAGGTTAGGGTATGGAAGCCAAAGCTGAAAACTTCCACTAACCAGCTTCCAAACTCTGACTGGATTGGAGCAGAGACAACTTATTAGATGTTCTAAACATTTTTGTTTGATGCTGCAATTGTTTTTAAAAGATAAGTCTAGTGACAATAGATTGTATTTATTCATACAATTCATATAGGTCTTTTTTATCCAAATACTTTAGGTTAAGTGAATTATGTTTAAAAAATGTACATGTAAAAACAAATAAAACTTAGAATTTTAAGTGAATGAATAAATGTAATCTTTTCCTCTACAAAGCAAACCATCCTCAGGAAGGAATAATTGTGATGCTCAGTGCAGTCCTCATTCTTTGAAAAACAGCATAACTTTCTTTTCTCAGCACAATGGTGCAAAAAAATATACTTTTAGGCTTTTTGTACATGTGTCTTTGCAATAGTTAACTCCTGATTATTTGGGGAATTTCAATAATGTGACTGTTACATTAAATGCTCATTCAAATTCCCTGGTTTTAAGAATTAGATTTGACAGCACATTAAACCAAGAGAGCACAAATATGAGAAATAAACAAAAAATGTTAACCAACAGCATCAGCACTCATAAAAAAAAAAAAGAAAAAATATCATGTTGAAAGCTGAACAAAGTTTTATTTGGAGTTTCCACTTCTTTTATGACCCATTGATGATTTTGCAATGGTGAACAAAAAGAATTTTGCAATAAAGCCATTTTTCAAGCACATTGAAATACTGTGTGGTACATCTACACTCAAGGGAATTTGTTAAAACATGGACAAAGTAGAGCACTGGCTGATGCATTCTGCAGATCAAGGTCCTAATCAAACTAACATCAGAACACCCTACAGAATAATACGTCACTCACAGCATGTCGTGCTTCAGTTAGATATTTAATTCCTAGGTGCCCCTAAGCACAGAGAGTGAAGGTGCTGCTGCTTGTAAATCATTTCCAAGAGACCAGCAGTGAGGGTGTCCCTGCCCAGCCATTTGCTGCCAGGTGACTTGAACTGAAATTTAATGACAGGAGACACTTGGATAAACATCTCCCAGATTCTACAGCTTCAGTTCTTTTGAGTGAGTCTCTAGCTGAAGAAAACCTGACAGGATCTAAACAGCATCATAGCAGAATGACACCTTTAATACAGCAAACTGTGGATCTGCTGTTGATTATCCTGCAAAATGTCCTAGAGATGAGGGAAAGTTACCCTTTAACTTTATGCCAGTTAAATGCCTCAGTCAAAAGACATATAGAAGAAGTGACTTAGAACTGACATCCTCTCCATTACCACCACAGTCCCTAAATACAATGTATTCTTGGCTACATTCCTACAGCTAGCCAAGATGCCAGCAAAATAAGGATCTTAAATCCTTTTCTTGCTGTGATGAATGCCATCATAACTTTCTTATTTGTTCCTTCTCTCTTGCCTTCATGAACTATTTACTTGTAGCCATGGAGGGAACGCCTGCTCTGGCTTTTCATCTGAAGCTCTTAAACAACAATGCATTTGGCCCAGGCACTCAGTCTTGCCATAGTTATACAATTTTATCTGGAGTTTTGTTAGACTACTGGGAGGCAACATTTCTTGAGTCTTTTTCTTATCAAACTGCTATTTAATGCCATGCACTGTTAAGAGTTCAGTAATGTTTTGGTCTAAAAGCAATTTCAGGTCTAAAAGCATTTCAGGAAAAATGTGAATTCTCTTATTTCACATTTAAAAGCACTTGGGATAAATCTGTGTTGTAAGGTGCTGTATAAGCACCAGATTAAGTGTTTCCATCTCAAGAAAAACAGCTCAAGTTCAAAATATCTGCTACTGATGGACCATTTTTCATCCTCACAGACAAAAAGCCTCCTTCATGCAGCCAATGAGTCATAAGCAGCACACAGAATTAGATATTGAGTTCTTCTTCTCATGCACATAGACCCTGGCTATTGGTCTACTGGGACATTTTTATGGGTTTTTTTCCATTTGAAATAAGAAAACCTGCACAAAAATACTTTCCAATAGCAAGTAGTTGCTAGTGGCTTCTACACTCCCTTAAACTGGCACCTACATACATCTGTAAGCCAGTAGATAATAACAACAATCAAATGTAAACCTTTGGTATGTAAACGGGTTTTTAAATAAAGACAACATAAAGCAGCATGCAAAGTAACCTATCAGAGATGCTGTGCTGTACCTTCAGGATGTAGCGGTGGGAGATTTTGTCATCAGCAGCCACATACAGACGGATGAAGACAGAGCTGCTGTATTGGCCACGCAGAACTGCCAAGGCTTGGACCAGGCTGAACCTCCTCTCTGACCACAGCCCTTCAGGTCCAATGTTGGATTCCAGCACAGGCCAGCGGAAGGGTGAATGCTTCAGGATACTTAACAGGGGTTTCACATCGGCTTTTTCAATTTTATCTGAAATGTCAAAGTGTGACAACAATTACATTCCAGACAATTCAAGTCCAGCAGCAGCCACACGAGACAAAGATTTATTGGCACCAACTGATTTCCAGGCAAGGCAATCACAATAGCTGAAACTCAAAGCCTCTGCTCTGCCTGTGAGCACGGCAGCATAGAAGTCCAATCCTGTTTATCTGTATCAAGAATAAGAGAGGCAAGTCAGTGCCTTTCTAAAAAGGCAAAGGCTGGAATTAGGTAAATTAAAAAAAAAAAAACAAAACAAAACCCCACACCTTGCTTATGAACTAGCATAGAAATTTCACTGGTTTTAGGGAAATTTGGGGGGTTATTGCTCATAATCAAAGCTAGAGAGTCAATATCTGGGCACCAAGGCTGTAGAGCAGGCTATCTCATTTGCTGGCAGTCAGACAGGCCATGCTGGAAGAAAACTGTGCAGAAAATAAATCCTGAAAGAGTCAGAAGGACAAAGGGGACTTCAAAGCCTTCTTTCACCTGTGCAGCTACCTAAGAGTAGTGATGTGTCCCAAATTAGTGAACAGTACCTTACAGCAGCATTACAAGCTGAGAAAAGGCACTCTGCAAACATGGCTAACTTGCTTGACATGCAAATACCAAAGCTAAAGGGTCCAGGGCTGTCTATACCCAGCCCTGGGATAGTGTTTTGATTAAACAGATTTAGAGAAATGTAGAAGGTGATGAGCAACAGGCTCTTGAAAATATCAAGATGAGAATTTCATCAGAGGGTTCTTCTGATTTAATAACCCCAGGCACTAACCCCACAAGCCTGAGGCACAGTTTAACATCCTTTTGCACAGATAAATATCTCTTCATACTTCTGACAAGCAGGGGTTTCTCTAAAACGGACTTGTGCCTGAGTGTACCTTAGTCTCAATTCACAGCTTTAAATGTACAGAAGACCCTCAACCCCAGCTGAATCCATATCAGCAAAATCCATGCATCTGCATAGAGCTTCACAGAGCTCTGCAGAGAGACAAAAAGCCTGCCTTTACAAATGCAGGGAATGCATCTATGCTCTCCTCAAATCAATCTACTTACCCTCATTCATGCAGGATGCATAAAGGATCTTGGCCTTCTGTACAGCTTCACTGTCTCGTCTTTTGCTGATGGGTTTCTCTAACAATGCTGAAAAAACAAGTCATTTTTTCAATACTTTGGAAGATGTAGACATTGTTTGCCTGTTTCAGCATTGGCTTTAATCATAGGATTTATTTGATTTAGTATGAGGCTCCATGTGTACTTTCTTAAGCAGTAGCACAGACATAATTGAACCTTTTTCAATCCCCAACAGAGAAGGGTTTTTTATTTATTTATTTTAAAGAGAACTGATATAAAGCCAAATGACAGATGCAGCTTTTTACTCATCCTCACAACCAGCTACCCTCAGCAAACTGAGGTGACAGGCAGTCATGGGGTGGGAACCAACACACAGAGCAGGGAGTCAGGAATTTTTTCAAGCGGCTCAGCTTCTGGTACATTATGAAATCACGACCTAATGGAGAAGGTTACAGGATCCCAGGAGCAAGCTGTAAATCAGCCACAATGCAGCTGCAGATACAAAGTACTGTGGATGAATGCAGAGGGAGCTGAGCTTCAAGAGATCTGTCAGCTCAGGTGCTGCACTGCACAAGCACTTCCATGGCCAGGAGAAGCAGGTGACTCTTGAGCACAGCACAGGAACAGGGCTGGCAAACTCTGTTGGACCTCGTCTGGTTTTGCAAGATCCAAGTAGGTTCTGCACAGCCTTACCTTACTGTTACTGGGACCACTGGAAGGAGTGGCTTTGCTGGCATCAAGTCCCTCCCATTATGTGCTCAGCCAGAGCTAAAAAGCCTTGAAAAATTCAAGACTCCCTTCCCAGCAGCAAAGCACCACCCCAGGCTCTGGGTTTCAATGAGCAGAGGCAGCACAGTGGAAGTGTGCAGAGAAGTGTGCCCCACACAAAAGGGGGAACAAAGAAAACAAGAGTCCCAGAGGCCTGTGAATGCAGAGAACGACTGAGGCTCCATAACACCAGCCATGGTGAGACCAAACAGCTCCCACACAGAGCTGGATCAGGGTCAAGGCAATGTTATTCCTCTGCCAGGACTGGCTGGGGACATGCAGAGTACAGAAGGGGTGTTGGCACTGCCATCCAAAGCAGCACTCTCCTGCAAACAGAGGCAGGCACTCGCTCTCCAGCCCTGCTCCTTCCACCCCACAATGCCTCCTCTCCAGGGAGGCAGAAGTTGGGTGTGACTGCTGGGTTCTTCAGCTGAGAATACCCTGGGTTTGCACAGCTTCTCTCAGTATTAGGAACTCACTGCTTGAGGCAGGATCTTAAGGAATTTATTTCCCAAAATTTCCCTAGGCCCCTGAGGAACCAGCCATGCTGCACCCCTGAGCTCCCCACCTGAGCTCATGTGAGCACTCAGGGGACCATAATGCAGACCTCACACTGTTTATTACTTTATTTTACTCAAGGAGTACCATAGTGATGAGCAATGCCACTTTTCTCTCCCTCCGACCCTTTTTCTCCTTAAACAAACAAACAAAAAACCCCACTGCCCAATTCTTTTGCTTAGACCCTTAAGAGATTATTAATGAGACCCTTAATGAGATTATTCTCTCTTAGTTATGAATAAGATTTTTCCATAAAAATACTTCTGGAGAGGATAGGTTTGGTTTCAAATCCTCAAATATTTCCCAAATAGTTAGATACAATGTAATACAAATCACCTATATATATATGTTCAGTGTGTACAATTCATAGCAGCATAATCAGACCTGCTCACATTTTCAAAATGGCATTTGAAAGAAATGATAAATGAATCCTCCATAAAACTAAGGATGAAAAACTACCCTCCCATTAAAGCCATTACAATAATTTCTCTCTTTGCCAGTGGGCTGTACAACCATGAAATTTTGAAGCTAATAAAATCCAATGGCTAAAGCTCAAGAGAGAAACAGATTATAAGAGCCAATAAAATCAACTCTTCAGATAAAACTGCATCAAATTGTGTTAAAATCAGACCTGGTGTTTACCCATCAAACCATCTCATTAATGTGACATCTACACTACCTCACTACTGCAAATAGTGAAGTGGGGTAGATGCTGCCAGCTTGCTCAGAATTCTTTTATGAAGACAATTCTCGGTTCTGATAACATAAAATCCAGTGATCAAAAATGAAAGACTCAATAAGATGCTTGAATCCTGTGGACACTGAAATAGGGGGTGTGATCCATGGACGGTCTTTAGGCTACGGAGGTTTCCCAGCCTTAACCTCAATTTTCCAGAAAGACTTAGAAGCACAAAACTGAAGCACTGCTCACATCCACATGTATTAACTAGTGGATGTGAGCAGTGCACATCCACTAGTTATGTGGATATAATATAAAATTACATTAACTAGTATAAAATCCAAACACAAGATTTAGAAATTTGCTTCTTATTTAGCTCACAATACATATGGATTTTACATGTCCTTTAGTATTTAAATTCTTAAGGATGAACAGCACGAAAAGGCAAGAACAGCAAGAAAAGTCAAGAAGCACAGCACACTGAACAAAGATATATGTAATCAATTAGTCTGTCTAGAGGTTGCTTATTCATGGAAAGAAAGTCACTACTGTGACTGAAATCAATGTAGGCCCATCAAGCGCTCTTTAAATTAGCAATATTGGGCGCTGTGAGCAGCCTGGCCACAGCTGCAGGCTCTGACAAACCCACCCAACAGAGCAAATCTGTTTGTGTGGGTCGATGCCTGCTGCTCTCTACAGGGCAGCAGCTCAGCCTGCTCTCCCAGGGCTCTGCAAGCTGAGCAAACCTGCTCCAGAGCCATCCCACACACCCTGAGCAGTGCTTCACCTCCTGACATGTGACATGGATTTCATCTGCAGCAAGGGAAATGCCAGCCAGTGACACGCAGACCGCAAATTCAGCTCCCCTGAAAAAATTCACCTGAACTACACTTGTCTAGGAGAATTGTCTTTCTACTTTGAAAAACTGAAATAGCTTCAGATATTTTCTGTTTTGACACCAAAATATAATCAAGGGATTATTTTTTTCAAGGGATAGGAAGAGAAAGACTACCAAAGATCAGTTAATGCTGTGCATCATAAGAGACCACAGATTTGCTGTTTGGTTTTTTAATTTGTCTTTCCAAGCTCCAACTCATGCCGCACTAAGGAATTGTGTGTATTCATACAAATCCACTGAGAAGTTCAGTCTGATAGGCTTTCCTTAAACACAGTTTCCTTAAACTTTGACCTAGTTAGAGAGATCAGGGCTACCAACATTTTGACTAAAACAGCTCACTTAGCGCTGAGAAAGACACTGAGCTTCTTCTTGGAGCTGTTTTACTTGCTGTTTTCTTGTTTCAAACTAAAAGTTATAATTTCTTAAAGTAATCTTCCATTTTAGGACACTATTCTTTTTACCTTTAAAGAAGAATTATTAGGAATATATAGTTTTGATCAGATTAGGAAATACACACCACTCCAACAAAATCTGCAGAGGTTAAAAAGAAACCACAATCTAAGCTGATTTCCAGGCATCTGAAAAAGCACTGAATTGTTATTAACATCAACCAAAATTTAACAATTTTCTGCTGCTACTGAATTATACTGCTAGCCTGCCTGCAAAGCAGAATATCATAACCAAAAATCAAAAAGTGAACTAGCATAGCTTAAACCAGCTGAATGTACACTTTGGATCCCATTTCCTTAGCCAAATATCAAGTATATGTTTGAATCGTGTTTTTAGCAAAGCGGTTCTTTTTCAGTTACATCTTTCAGTTTCTTCACTTCTTAATTATTTCCAAAGTCATTTTCTTTGGGATAAAAAGAAGATCTTTGCCTCTATCACTGACCTCAGCACCTCATTGTTCATGTTTCCATATGCACAGGATGCCCAAATGTAAGATTTATGTTTCCCTTCACATAAAACTTAGTTATGGCGAGTGTCACCCCCTATTAGCAATTGCACTCCACAGTGTTGTAATAACATAACTCATGGCATTAAGCAGCTACCACTTGCACAGTCAGAAACTGGCTAAAGGTGTTCACAATATCCTAAATTTCCTGAGGTTGCAAATGGCTTCATCATTCACCTTCTTGTATATAGGAGATGAGCGTGTAGAAGTTCCCATTCCAGTGAAGGTTCTTGAACTTCTGTCGCCCCAGGTCAGGCAGGTTTGCGTCACTGCACTCCCTGACTCTCATACGAAACACAAACTCTCAGCATCGCCAGCAAAAACCACTCCATAGCTGGGAGTGCTCTTCATTTGTCTGAAGTGGAGATGCTCAGATACACAGCCAAGGAAAAAAAGGCACAGCTGTGGGTGGGGAGCTGGGAAGGAAGGAAGGAAGGAAGAGAGTTTATATTGAGTTGCCTTCACACAGTTCTTTTCCAGGGCAAGAGTGCTAAAAAAGGCCAGCTTCCTGTGGTTCACTACCCTCGAGTAAATAGCAATCATCTGCTGTTAAAAGTGAGAGCAAGGCACATTACAAAGTAAGCTTTGCATGTGTGTTTATTTGGCTGCATACTATTCTAAAGCTGCTAAGGATAGTCTTGTGGCTAAGTGTTACCTTTAATCTCACTTTCCATTTCCAGCCCTTGTTGATTTTCCAGCCCACTGTCTTGCACAGCTTCACTTTGGTTTTCTACCATCATATTTTATTTATGGCACCAAGAAATCCCGTACCTTTCCTTCTTCTGACTTGGACTGCATGAAAAAGGATGGTAAAGCCAGATTTGAAAAGAAAAGAAACATGCACACCATTCATTCAGATTAGAAATATTGATTCAATTTATCAGTGTCCTGATCAGATTGTATGCTGATATATACTTACCCTATCAGACCATTTTCTATATATATTGTTGAGTTGAAATCCTGAGAAATACTGTGTTATTCATGAGGTTTATTTCCTATTCTAGTGAGAAAAATAAAAGTTTTCTCTGCACTTTACAACCCTAAATATAGAGAAATATCTAGTTGGTAAAGACAGTACCATTTTTCCATTAGTTTTTGTCCTTATCCTTTTACAAACATTTGCTCTGTGTGGAAAATGCAAGTTCAAGTGTTTGCATAGTGATATCTGGCAATGATCTGAAATATATTATAATGCTTTGTATCTTGAAGAA